TCTAGAGGGGAAAATGCTGCTGTATGCCATCTCACTCTGTCACCCCTAGAGGCCAGCCCTGTTCAGCTCAGCTCTAGAAAGGCAGGCCCCCAGCACAGGGGTTGCTTTTGCCGTAGGTCTGTAGGGGTCTCGTCAGCCTGATCCCCCCAGCCCTGTGGTCCTGAATTCAGGCCCAGCACTGGGCGTTACTGCGTGCCGAGTGGGGCTGGGCTCGGATGGGTGTTCTGGCCTGCTCACCGCTCTGCGATTGTTCCTGCAGGGGGGAAAGGAAGTGGCATCTTTGATGAATCGACACCTGTGCAGACTCGACAGCGTCTGAATCCACCTGGTGGGAAGACCAGTGACATTTTTGGGTCCCCAGTCACTGCCACTTCACCCTTGGCACACCCAAACAAACCCAAGGTATGGACTACATTGAGACAGCAGGCATGAAAGAAACAAAACTCAAACAAGTATTCTTTAAAAAGGCTCTGAGGCTGGCGTGATATGTTATTAGGACAAGGTAGGTGACGTTGGTTTTCCTGGGTGCAGTCATTAGTCACCGAGTTTCAGAGCTCCCCTGAGTCATCAGATAAATGTATTCCAGCCGTGAGATGACGGAGCCTCGGGGAGCTGGCCTTGGTGTGTCAGTAGCAGTGACTGCCCACTGCCGACAGGCTGCTGCTCTTCTCTGCACAGCACTGAGGGTGGTGAGGACGTTTATAAAATTTAACATACAGTAGGGGAGTCGTCTCTCATAAAATTTCACTTTTCGTAGTGGTCATCAATAAGTACAATAACTGCATTGGATTAAAATTCACCACATGTTTAGAATTCATAATAAAACTTTAATTTTGTCATCTTTGGAGAATGCCAGAGGACCAGCTCATTTTCCTGAAAACAGAAGGACAGAATCTAGCATTTAGCCAGCACTTCCTGCATGAACTGTACCTTAGGATAACAGTCATGAAAGGCAAGTTTCCTTTATAAAATATGCCAGCCTATAAATGAAGAAGGAATAACGAAATTCAAATATCACCACTTTGCAAACTTGTAATGAAATTGGGAGTTTAGGCAATGATCATCAGTGGCCACTAACATCACAAAATGAGACAAGCAAAAATTATGGGCCTTGTGTTAAAAGTCCATCTTGGACCACCTTTGAATTCTCTTTTTTGTTTTTGCTGAGGAAGATTACTCCTAAGCTAACATCTGTGCCAGTCTTCCTCTACTTTATATGTGGGTCCCCACCAAGCATGACTGATGAGTGGTGTAGGTCCACACCCAAGATCCAAAACCCGGGATCCTGGGCCATAAAAGTGGAGCACACTGAACTTAACTACTGCGCCACGGGGCCGGCCCCCACCTTTGAATTCTTGTCAAAAAAAATCAAGCCTGAATCAGACCAAACCTAATATTAATTGACACCACAGAGATTCAATCCGAGTATTGCAAAATATAGGAATTTACATGGCCAACAATAGAGGGAGAGCCTAATGATTAAAACGAGACTTAGGAATGCAATCCCTATCAAAATCCCAGCCCTGTTTTGAAAAAAATGGGACGACCCATCCTAAAATTTTTATGGAATCTCAAGGGACCCCAAATAGCCAAACAATCATGAAAATGAAGAATAAAGTTGGAGGACTCACACTTGCTGATTTCAAAACTAACTACAAAGCTAATGGCGCAGTACTGGCATAAGGATAGACATAGAGATCGGTGGGATAGAATTGAGAGCTGAGAAATAATCTCTCACATCTGTGGTTAATTGATATTTCCACAAGGGTGCCAAGAGCATTCAGTGGGGGAAAGAAGAGTCTCTTCAACAAACGCTGCCGGGAAAACTGGATATGCACATGCAAAAAAAATGAAAGTGGACCCCTACCTTACACCATATACGAAAATTAACTAAAAGTGGATCAACGACCTAGATTTAAGAGCTAAAACTATAAAATTCTTAGAAGAAAATATAGAGACAAATCTTCATCATCTTGAATTTGGCAGTGGTTTCTTAAATAATGACACCAAAAACACAGGCAATAAAATTTAAAATAAACAGGGGCTGGCCCCGTGGCCGAGTGGTTAAGTCTGTGCGCTCCGCTGCAGGCGGCCCAGTGTTTCGTTGGTTCGAATCCTGGGCACGGACATGGCACTGCTCATCAAACCACGCTGAGGCAGCGTCCCACAGGCTACAACTAGAAGGACCCACAACGAAGAATATACAACTATGTACTGGGGGGCTTTGGGGAGAAAAAGGAAAAAATAAAATCTTAAAAAAAAAAAAATTTAAAATAAACAAATTGACTTCATTAAAATTAAAAACTTGTGTGCATCAAAAGACACTATCAAGAGAATGAAAAGACAACCCACAGAATGGGAGAAAATATTTGGAAATCACATATCTGATAAAGGTTTGTTTTCTAGAATATAAAAAGAACTACAACTCAACAACAAAAAGACAACTAGATTCAAAAGTGGGCAAAGGACTTGAATAGACATTTCTCCAAAGAAGGTATATAAATAGTCTGTCAGCATGAAAAGATGCTCGGCATCCTTAGCCAATAAGGATATGCAAAGCAAAATCACCATGAGATACCACTTCACACCCACCAGCATGGCTATTATCAAACGAAAAATGAAACAAGAAATATTGGTGAGGACGTAGAGAATTGGACCCCTCATACATTGCCACTGGGAATGTAAAACGGTGCAGCCACTGTGGAAAACAGTTCGGCAGTGTCTGAAAAAGTTAAACACAGAACTGACCATATGACCCAGCAGTTCCACTCTTAGATATATACCAAAAAAATCTGGAAACAGGAACTCAAAACAGATACTTGTACACCTATTTTAATAGCAACATTATTCACAATAGCCAAAAGGGAGAAACAACCCAAGTGTCCGTCAGCAGATGAATGGATAAACAGAATGTGCCGTACACAGATAACGGGATGTTACTCAGCCGTAAAGGAATGATGCTGCAACACGGACGAGCCTTGGAAACACGCCAGTGCTTGAAAATTTGACTAGGTGTTAGCCATTTGAGGAATGATTAATTTTTGCAATTGTGAGAGTGTTGTTATGGTTATGTCTTTTCTTAAAGGACATTTTTAATAGCCATATCTTGAAATATTTATGGATAAATGAAATACCTGGGATTTGCTTTAAAATAATCCCACGAGGGGGTGGAGGGAGTGAGGTTGGGAGAACGGTGTGGCTGAGCCGAGGGTGGCGGTGAGCTGATGTCATTGTAGCTGTATGGCGGGTTACGTGGGGTTCACAGTACCATTCTCTCCACTTTGTTTATGGTTAAAATTGTCCATAATAAAAACATTTTTAAAAATTAAAAACAAACCCAAGTCATTTGTGCCCTGATTTTCATCGCCCATTTGAACGAGGGTAAAAAGTTTCTGAATCATTTACTGACCTGGGGTTTGGCTTGTTGCAGGACCACGTGCTCTTGTGTGAAGGAGAAGACCCCAAATCAGACATTAAAGGTGAGCTTCTGCTTTCTGTTCCTTCTCGAGTGCTCTCACTCTGGACTTGGTGCTGGTGTGCCCCCAAAGGATGAGAGGGAATGTTCTGTGCCCCTTCTAGCCCAGCTGATGAAACAAGCAAGGTCGTGTTTATTACCAAGAGGCTTGAGTATTTGAAGAAGGCCAGGGAAGTGGGCTCACTCACTTCTGGTGAAAACTCCCACCTGGTTACCACTGGCTTTTCTTCACTTCTTGTCATTGCTAATCAGCCTGGGCCTAAGAACAAGGTGTCCTCTTCTAGAAGCTGGTCTTATGTAGTGAAGGGCAGGGATCTGAAACCTTTAATGAACTCGTGACCAAGGGGAGAGCTGGCGGAACTAATTCAGAAGAGAAGGGCATACAAGAGAGCAGGAGAAGGACCAGGAGCGGGTGTGAGGCTTGCCTGTGATGGGGAGGGGTGGTGCCTCCATAATCGGGCGCCCAAGTTTTGGGAGTTGCTCCAGTGGTCAGGCTGCATGTCACACGTGGAGACCCACTGCGGTTCTCTAAGCTGACTGTGGGCACTGATTTCTGCCTTTGGGTCACCATTTCCCTCAATTGATGACCAAAATACACGGGCATTCATTCATACAGAAAGTCCAGAGTAAGCGTCAGAAAGCCTTGCCTCACCTGAGACCCTCCAGTTGAGATGGCCCTCCTCCTTGTCATGCCCACTTGGAGAAGGTTTGCTCTTTATAATTGAGGTGGAAGAAAAGGGGATGGGGCCCAAAAAGCAGCATAAAGAAACAGTCAACTTATTTATCAAAGAGTGTTTATAGTAGCAAGCCCCAACTTTATGCCCCGTTCAGAAACACCCTCTGCTAATCGCAGCGAGTCTTGGTGAAAGATGGAAGCCTGGCTGTGTGTTCTTCTCTTTTCCCATCCTGGGATGCATTTCCTACTAGCCGGTCTATGTCTTCCATATGCACAGCTTGCCTGTCCAGGTAATGGGCAGCCTCTAATGGGGTGGTATGCTGACTTTGTCCCACAGCTGCAACGAGCACCTCACCCAGAGAAGAGCCTGGTGAGAAAGGCGGCCGCAGAGAAGCTGACCGCACCCAGGAGCCCCAGCCCACGCCCACGGTCGACAGCCATGAGCCCAGGCTGGGCCCGCGGCCTCGCTCTCACAACAAAGTCCTGAACCCACCCGGAGGCAAATCCAGCATCTCTTTCTACTAAAAGAAGCTGCCGCTTCCCCAATAGCCAGACAAGAAACTTGAGAGATAGGATTTCAAATATTATAGTTTCTTTTAGCCCAAAGGAGTGGGGGTGGGGAGAGGGTCTGTTGTGTATCTGAAGCTGCTGCTCAGGCTCCACTGCCATCCCGAGAGCCACGGAGGACCTCCCTCGCTTTCCAGACTGCCGAGAGACATCTCTGTGAGCATTAGTGTGACTCCCCTGGTGTACACTCACTTGTAATTCCAGATGTGAGAGGAACTCTGAGATGGGCGGGGTGGGGAGATGGCGCAAGGCCACAGCAAGGCCTGACGAAGGGGCCTCTTACACGTCCTTGTGCATCAGCAGTCTGCCGGTAATCCAGCATGTAGGAGTCACTAACACCGTAGCAGAGTTTAAAGCCTTTGAAAGCAAACCAGAACCACCTCTCCAATGCTGTGGGATAGAGGAGGAAGGCATAAGCCGAAACCTTTCAGGGAGGGGGTGGGGGGGTCTCTGTGCACCCCCGTAGATCCTCATGCCATTTGCCCTTCACGGCTATGGTTTCCGTTCCTGGGACACCCGCTGCTCAACCCCACTGTCTCCTTTACTTCAGCCCCAGAGTGTTGTTCTGCAGCCTGTTCTTGAAACATCTTGATTGCTTTTCCTCGGCAGCTGTCAACAGAAACCAAAAAGTCGTTCTCAGTCTATGCTTTGTAGAAAGATTTTGTGCCCTGATTCTCTCAGGTGCCCCAGTTCTGCCATCTAAAACCTTGGCCAGACCTTACGGAGGAATCTCCGCCTTTCGTTCACAAAGGACTGGTTTTAGTCTCTTTACGGGCTGTTTTGCTTGTAAATTGTTCTTTTTTTTCCTCATCAGCCTTAAGTCTAGGCCTTTGCTCTTCACCAGCAGTGTGGACAGTTCCTTTCACAAGCTGTCTGCAGGGCCTGCTGACGTCTGCGAGACTTTAGAACTCTGTCCAGATGTGTCCAGGTGATGGGGTTATTTAAACCCCTCGTATGTCTTACTTGATCCTGTCGAGGGGGACGAGCTACTCCAGACCCTTGGGTTCTTTGGGTTAGATTCTGTAATAATATCTAAAGAGCTATTGTAAAATACCAGCTTTACATAAGCGACTGTTGACTTGGGTCTGTTTCTGACACGTTTCTAGAAAAAAATCAGTTGCTCAGGTATACCAAAGAGGAAGAAAAGTCTGCTTAGGCCACCCTTTACAAAGCTTTGCAGCACCTCGGGACCATATTCAGTTTCCGGAAGAGACTTAGAGGCCTTAGCCCAGGAGATTCAATAGTTTGGCAGCAAAGTCTTAACTGGCCAATTCTGTGGTATCTGCCAGCAAAGATATTTGCTTTCAGTTTGTCCCATTCAGCCTCTAAAGGGCTACAGTGTAAATTCCTACAGTTCACTCATGTTGGACCAGCAGTTAACAGGAGAGGATTTGGGTGGTGGCAGCTATTGGTACGAGTGCCTACAAAGCTAGTGCCAGGTGCTAGAAATATCTTCATCATTATTAAAATTTCAAAAAGCAACAACTGTGTTTAGTTGCACTCACAGTGGCCTAGACACGTAAGTGCCTACAGGCGCTGCCTGCCAGGCTCCACTTCTCACACCCAGCGCATTGACGGGGTCTGCACGTGGCTTTGTCAACCAAAGACAGTTGTCCTTTTGGTTGCCCTGCTGACTCTGGAGCCAAGAAACACTGATTTCATGTGACTCTATCAAGTACTTCCTGTCTCCATCCTTCAAATGGTTTATAAGAAAGTTGTTTGGAATTCAGAGCATTTTTTACCCATTAAAAAATGTTGTAAATAGTGGTTAGCTTTTAAGCCCAAACACACTAATTTGTTTAACAGAAAATGAAATGTTCTAATGGTGGAAATGAACTTGTAACTGTGGGGTTTTTACTATACAAGAAAATGACTTGTGAATTCCAAATTGGATTGCCAAGAGGAACCCTGCATGGTGGTGCCAGCCCATGTGGCTTCACCCCCACCCTCACCGTCAGCCAAATGGGGGAGGAGCTGTCTGGGTCTGTCCACTGGCAGGGCTCTCGGGTGGAGGTGCGAGAGACCAGAGACGGGAATGAGGAAAACATGAACACAGCGAGAGCTTCTGGGCAGCAGTGACACAACTCCCTACCTTCCTTTTCTCCCATCTTCCCCCCTTTCTTTTCCTCCCTGCAGCCCTAGGAGTGGGTTTAGAGTGCCTGAGTAGTCTGGTCACTGGGGGAAGCAGAGGAGGAGTTTCTGCTCCTGTGAGCCCAGTGGGGGTGATCATTTATATTTGGAGGATGCGCTCTACATTGGTGACTGCCTGTGTTTGGAAGATTCACTAACTCTTAGCACCCTGTTCTCACCCTCTACGCTGCATTGAGAAATTACTAGTTTCTATTTTTCTTAAGCCTTAAAATTTTTTTTATGTGCATTTGGTGCCAACTCTTTTCTAGAGCTGTATCAAAAACAACCAACCTGTACTCACTTGCAATGTAATTTTTATAGGAAGATTTTGTTATTTTTACAAGGCAGAATTGGGTATAACAGTTGAATTAAACTTAGCAATCATGTACTCAAAGTCTTTGCCTGTTGTGTGCACACATGATTTTCTCAACATCCATTTTCCAAAGTGCCTGAACTCTGCTCCTTCCCTTTCAGCTTTTCAATGGCGACGGGGTTTGCCTTTTTTCATTCCTTTTTTTTTTTTTCCATTTAGCCAGAGGATGCCCAAATGAATCTTTTCAAAGGTTATGGATTTAAAGTTATTTTCATTTGAAAACCAAAGACTTAGCTTTGAGTAGAATTAGTAGGAATATGCCAGTGCTCTTTTCAGTTTCTGTAAGCTTAATGATTTTTTTTTTCTCTTCTACCACTTGTTTTCCTAAAGAACCGAAGATAATTGAACTTGCCTCTGAGTTGGCTTTGAAACTTGAGTGACAAGCCTTGTAATGAGTGGAGGAGGTGCTGAGCTAGCAGTTTGTCTGTAGTTTCAAGTCCTGTAGAGAACGCACGGACTGAATGTCTTTCCTTCTTATGTATTAGCTGTTTTCATATTTGTACAAGCAAACAGTACCCTCCTGTGAATTACATGAACTCAGGGTGATGAAGCTGCTCAGACTGCCTGCCTGGAGACCCTCTACACGAGGCTCTGCACCGTTCTGCGTGCTGGATTGGGCCAGCTACCAGGACAGCATTCAGAAAGAAACCCAACGGGCTACCTGACACTGTCTTCATTTGTTCGTCTGAAAACGTGCTGGGGAGTGCAGAGTGTGTTCCAAGAACTGGGCTAGGCTCTGGGGACATTACATGTCCTGTTTGTAGCAGCCGCTCTAGCCGCAGGCAAGCACTGAGGTCTCAGAGTGTCACAACCTATTTGTCTCCAGAGGCCAGGCAATGGCTGAGTTGGAAAGGACCAAGGTAGCCCCACCATGTTCTGGGGAGGGGCTGAAGAATAGACACCCAAGGATCGCTACTTCCTGTCCTGTGCCTCGTCAGGAAACACTGGCACTTTTGACGGAGCATAGCTTGTCTTTGTGAGTCACACCTTGCAAGGATGTATATACCTGTGTTATCCAGTTCATTTCTTCTGAACTTTTAATCTTTAGCATTCTTGGAAATCATGAATGAAATATTCCTATTCTACGTGTGACTACAAAGTGCTATCTAAAATTCAACTTAGGGAGAAATGAGAGGGACATTACAGGGACCTAGGTGACTTTTTAGCACGCATTAGGGGTAGATACTTAGAAATCAAAGTAGAACTTTTGAAACTTGTGTGCCCATCTTACATTTTAGGGCCTTGTAATGAGAAAAAGTTGTATTTCGAATTATCTTTACAAATCTGAAGGGAAGCCTATTTATTAAAAAGTAAGTTCTAATTCAATTTGCCTGAGCTCTCAGGAGTTTACTAGTTGCATTCTTCAGTAAGCATCAAGAATTATCCAGCATATCATCTTGTTAAAACTTCATTTTGTTTTAACCAATTTCAAATAATAAATCTGTCCAATCACGTTAATAATAAAAACAAATAAGGTGGACTGCCAAGCCATTCGGCCTCTCACTGTGGTAGTGGGGCTGCTTGACTGTATTTGCTACTCAGGTATTCAAAGGGGTCCAATTACTGAAAAAGGCCTAAGGCAGAAGTCTTAAACATTCCCCAAAACACTCACAAGCTTTGTCTGTAACTTGCTCACCAGGAAAAAATTAAACATTTCATCTCTTTGTCCTGGCTTATCATTTTGAGAATATAAAACTAACAATTCCACTTAACATATTTCATGCTTACCGTTTGCTGGAGATGGTGCTAAGCCCCTTCCACGGAATAGTTTATTTAATCTTTATAACCTTCCTGGTAGGTTGGTAATACTTTTAGGCTCAGTTTTACAGGTTTGGAAATGGAATGGGAATTTAGGATGATTAAGTCACTTAGCTAGGATCAAAACTCAGGCAATCTGAATTTGAGACTGAAACCTCAGTTTGTCTTTTAGTGGGGTGGGTGAGCAGCCATACAGCAAATTAGGTTGCAAGGGGAAAATGTGTACAATAATATTTAGGGCATCACCTGCAGGAAAGTTCATTGATTTGGTACAGTCAGGTTAGGATGAGAGGACCCCACCATCAGTTAGCATGAACGGAGCTTGAAGCACCTCTGTCAGCACTAAGTGGTCACTAATGGGATTTTTAAATCAGAATTCACATTACCTATGTGGCCCCCAAGCTGAAAGTGTAAGTCCTGGGTTCGTGGTGTCCTCAGAAGCCAGCAAAAGAAAAGGCAAATCCTCTGACATGACTCATTTTAAATTCAGGCCTCAGAGTATTTCCACAGATACAATTCCAAGGAATGCCAGCTGAGCAGGGAGGGGAGGAGCAGCCCGTGCAAGAGTCCACCAAAACAACAGACTGCAGAATCAGACCTGCAAAGGCTGCAGATACTGTAATTAGGAGGTATCAAAAAAAAAAAAAAAAAAGCTTACTAAAGAGATTTAAAATAAGTGGCTGAAAGTGGAAGAAATGGCCTATCCAAACTGGCAGAACATAGGAAAATCAAATAGGACAAACAGAGATTAAAAATAGAGCCACTGAAACTAAAAACTCAATGGATGAGTTAAATAGATTACACACCGCTGAAGTGAAACTGGGAAATCTGAAGAAGTTACACAAAACGCAGGACACAAAAATGGACTAACTGAGAGCTGGTTACCGGATTTTAGGATGAGAGGGGCAACCTGCATTGAACTGGAATCCCAGGAGGGACAATCGGATGGCAGAGAGGCGCTATGTCTGGGGAAGCTCTCAATACTTACTGAGGAGGGGTGTGCACTACTGTGTAGTAAAACCAGAAAGATGAGTCAGAGAACAGCAAACCAGCCCAGCATCACGGTCACCCTGGGGGAAGGCAGGTGCGCACAAAGGCAACGTCCGTTTCTTTGGAGGGAGGATGCGCGCCGGGATGCTAGTTTAAGTCTCTAGGCCGCACACAATCGCTTATATGTACTCTCAGGACATAGGCTGTGTCACTTTAAAAGCCCCGGCCGGTGTCGTGGGAGCTGGCGGGACCTTGCTAAAGGCGACGGGCGCTGGCGGGTAGCGGCTCTGACAAGCCTGATCGGAAGCGCCCCCCGCCCCGCTCGGCCGAGCTTCCGGCCCGGAGACGGGCTTCCTCTTACGTCACGGCCCTTGCGACCCCTAGCGGCGCGGCGCCGCGGGACTCCGGCAGGACCGGCACCGCCCCCTTTGTCTGGCGGGCGGGACTTCCGAGCGGCCGCACTTCCGGCTGCTGAGTGACAGGCGCAGCATCAGCATCAGCAGCGGCGGCGGCGGTGGCTGAGCCCTGAGGCGACAGCGACAGCGGCTGCGGCGGAGGCGACGGGCCGCGGCCTGCAGACTACGGGCAGCCGGGGCGGGCGGGCGCGCCGGCGGACAGCGGGCCGCGCTGGCGGCGGCGGTGGCCGCGATGATGGAGATCCAGATGGACGAGGGCGGCGGCGTGGTGGTGTACCAGGACGACTACTGCTCGGGCTCGGTGATGTCCGAGCGGGTGTCGGGCCTGGCGGGCTCCATCTACCGCGAGTTCGAGCGCCTCATCCACTGCTACGATGAGGAGGTGGTCAAGGAGCTCATGCCGCTCGTGGTCAACGTGCTCGAGAACCTGGACTCGGTGCTCAGCGAGAACCAGGAGCACGAGGTGGAGCTGGAGCTGCTGCGCGAGGACAACGAGCAGCTGCTCACCCAGTACGAGCGGGAGAAGGCGCTGCGCAAGCAGGCCGAGGAGGTGCGTGGGCCGGCCGCGCCGCGCCGGGGATCCGCCCGGGGACCGCAGCCCCGCCTGGTCCTCATACACACCACACACGCGCACACGCACCCACTCCCCCGGCCCCGCCCGGGCACCCCGCCCTGAGCCCTCGCCCGGGGACCGCAGCCCCTCCTGGTCCTCATATCCCTCTGCCCCGCCCGGGAACCCCGCCCTCAGCCCGCGCCCGGGAACCTCCGCCCCGCCGGGGGACCTCATACTCCCCGCCCCGCCTTAGCCTTCGCCGGCCAGACTCCAGCCTGATCTCATACTCCCCGCCCATCCCAGCTCGGCCCCCAACGGCCCGGCGCCCCTAGCCCGGCCCCGGGGGTGAGGCCTGGCTGCCCCTTCCTCCTGACCTGCTGCTCGGGCCCAGCCTTGAGCCCCGGACCCCCTGGCCTCAGCCGGGGAGTTTGCAGCCCCAGCAGCCCTTAGCCTCGGGCCAGGCTTCCGTTTCCCCTCCATACTCCCCTGTCATTGCAGAGGCCGGGTTTTACGCTTTCGTGTGTGTTTTTCGCAAAGCAGTTTCCTAGACCCCCGATTACTCCCTCTGGTTGCTGCAATTCTAAACCCTCCTCGCAGAAGAGGGATTTCTGATTTTCTTACGGTTCTGCAGCCGAGGAGGTCTTTTGTCAGAAGGCCTTTTCCTTGTTCCCGATCCAGTGTTTTGAAGGTGTGTGTGGTGGGCAGATTCGGGGATTGAGGTGAACACATAACTCAGGCTGCAGTTAGGCTGCTCCCCTGGCACCAGGTGAAAGAGTGCAGGTTTCCGGAGGTGATTTCTCTGCCCTGTGGTTCCTTCTGTTGGGAAGATTGTTATTTATGTGGAAAAGGCTGAGAAATTCCACTCTGGCTTGTGAGGAGTTAAAAGTAGAATGTTGAAATATTTGATTGTGTTCTAGATTTCTCCATAACCTGGAAATCGCTTATTTGTGAGCCAGTTAGAAGAACTGTGCAGGGAATACCACTTAACTTCATTCGCTCACCATCAGATGTTTAGGGCTGACTGTAGTGCCAGACCCAAACGGATTCGGGGGATGTGCGTTCCTGTCCCTGCTTTGCCTCTGTGACCTTGTCCTGGTCGCCTGCCTGCTCTGTATTTTGATTTTCCATCCACCAAATGAGTCAGTTGTCCTAGATGATCTCTAAGCCCTGACATTCTGTTTTTCCAGGCACTAGGTGCTGCTCTTTGATTTATGAATAGGAAGTTTCTTATTAAATGAGCTAAATTCTGTTTCAGTTAATTTGCCTTCATACATTCTTGACTTTAGATTGAAATAGAAAATTGTTCCAGCATTTAGGCTTTTTCTTAAACCAGAGTGGTTGATGCGCTGGTTTGGTTTAAAGCGTGTTTATAAAAATTAATAGTGCTTTGTATCGTTCCTACTTAACGGTGGTTTATTTTGCTTTTGGGTTTTGTGTTTCTCTCAAGAGGCTGTTGTCTATTGATTGGGGTGCCAGCCTCCACTGATTTAAAGCTCTCAACTTAAGGGGATGGAAGAGCTCATAGGGTTTTAGAATTCAGAGTGGCCCTCGGCATTCCCTGGGGAGGGAACTGGCCCTGAGAAGAGGGGGTTGGCTGGACCAAGGTCACGCGCCCTAGCAAAGCCAGGCCAGGACCCAGTCTACCCTGACTCCCGGCCAGGGCTCTTCTCCCCACGTCATGCTGCTGTGGGAGGTCAGAGAGCTGCAGCCCCAGAAGACGGGAGTTCTGGGGCTCCCCTCACCTGGCCATGGGGCTGTGGCTGCCTCCCTAGTGCTGGGCAGCACCCTCCACTTCTCTGACCACTCTCAGTGGTCATTTGGTGCTTGACTGAGATTTCAAGTGGGTTTGTTTTCTCTTATCCTGTACCTCTGTGTTCAACATAGTGGATGAGAAGCAAGTAAAAGGAGAAAACCAAGATGGACAACCTTAAGACTAAGAATCATAACCTTCTACCTTAAAAATTAGTCCTGCGTGGATTAGGCCTCTGCTCGGCTATGTGCAGTTCAGGTGCAGCGACAAGCGAGCGTGCTTCTGACTTCCCACTTACACTCCCCTGGACCAGGAGCTGGGGGTGTGTGTGTGGTTTGGAGGACACTGCCTTTGAGACCAAGGCCCACCATTGTCCCAGCTATTAAGAGAAGCTGCACAGAGCTTCCTGAGCAGAGAGCCACAGAGCAAACAAACGCTGGCTAGGCAGCATCGAGCCTGCGATCAGATGCTACTAGGATGCCCTTGGAGAGACCTCAAGTCATGTCACAACTCAAGAAAAGGGCCAAATACTGAAAGCGTTTTGGCATTCCAGCTCGTTTATTAAATCCGGCAGACATTCATTTTCAGTTTTGTGGAAAAGCCCACTGTGCATGGTGGATCGGCTGCTTTTTCTAGGCGGGGAATTGGGATCACAGATGTGTGTTGATAACACGAGAGCTGGAACGTCACAGGCTGCAGGCACGTCCCTGCGTCCCCGGCCACTCTGCTTGAGAAGGCTTAGTCAGAGCTGGGTAACCTGAGCTGCCTGCGGCCTTCAGAGCAGACAGAATCTGCAGCTTTTTTTATAGGAAGCCTTGAGCAGAGCAAACCCCTGTCCTCTACTTCTTGCTGGTAACAACCACAGCAGGGGACTGCAAGTGTGTTCTGCTCCCAGGGTAGCTCAGTGGATGGGAGTGACGGTCGCTAGACATGTGGAGTCCAGAGAGAGGGGCCGAGCCCGGAGGCTGCAGACACAGGCTTGAGCGCCAGCCCTGCCCTTGGGAGCCGCACGCCCTGTGACCAGTGTTCCCCTCTGGCCACAGTGGCTGCCTCTGTCAAGTGAGTGGGTTGCTAGACGTGGCAAGTCACTTTCCTCTCGAGTGCCAGGTCCCCGTCTTGGCTGTTGTTTGCCTGGAGAGTTGTGGCTAGGCGGAGTCAGCCGAGTCAGGGAAGAGCACCTTGCCGGGTACGTGGGGAGCCTTGGATGGCAAGCGTGGAGCATCTCCGTCTCCGATTGTGCGGCGTTTGCCCTTCTAGTCAAGACCAACGAGTCTCGCTCAAGCTTGCAGTGCTAGATGGACCTATTGCTGTCTTCCAGATTTTCTATAGAGACCTTACAAATGCTGGATCTTTACCCAATACAAAGTTTTTAAAAGCCACTTCTCATTAGAACAGAGGTTGGAAGTGGGCGGTTGACTGGGACGGCCGGAGAGCGAGTAGGTGCCCCTCGGTAGTGTTGCCCAGTGTCACCCCAGGGAGGGCCGAGCAGAGGCCCCATTGCTCCATTTCCCCAGGCAGCAGAGAGCCCTCTTCCTGGCGGTGATCAAGCCCTTAGCTCACAGGAGGAAAAATTACGTTTGAGAGACAAGGTGTGAGTTTAATAGGCATCATTTACCTTATATCCGTCTTAGCCCTAAAGAAACGACTAGTAACACCCCCCAAACCCGTCACAAGCAATTCAAGTGGATGTTCTGTGGAAGACACACATACGGTCACGTGCCGCATAACAATGTTCCAGTCAACGGTGGACCGCGTGTGCGATGGTCGTCCCGTAAGATTTGCACCGTGGAGCCTGGGGGTGTGGTAGGCTGCACCGTCTAGGTTTGTGTAAGTGCACACTGTGATCGCACAGCGACAAAAGCGCCTAACGACGCGTTTCTCAGACCATTTCCCCGGCGCTGAGCAGCACACGACTGTATGTGGCTATTTGCTGAGACTTCGGCTTTTAGTGCTGTTTGAGAGGAGCGCCCGGCTGAAGGAAAGTTTTACCCCTCTCTGTTTTTCTAGTTGTATAAAAGTAATCCATCTCATAGAAGAACGTTTGGATAGAATTAAGCTGGAGGGGAGAAAGCCGTGATCTTACTCCATAGAGATTATCATTTTGCTTTTTTTCATAAGTGAATTAATACACTGAATCAGAAGTGTTTCTTTTTGTTTCTCGTATCACAAATAGTAAGTCCACCACTGCTTGGACAAGGTATGCGATTTCTTCTTCTGCCCTGTTGCAGTAGTAAGAGCAATTTTTCAAAACTGGTTTTTTTTTAGATGAAGCCGTCTGTACCAAAGTCACCAGGAGTACACCAAAAGTTCCCTAAAAAGTAGAAACAAATAAGTGTAGGAGAGCAAAGAGAGGTGCTTCTAGCCAGAGGATGTGTGGGAAGGTGCCGCCTTGCTGTGGGGGCCCCGGCCCCTGTTGCATGGCAGGAGCGCTCTGGGCCCTGTGGGGCGGTTAGGCAGCAGGGCTGAGCGCTGCTACAGGTTAGTTCCTCCCAAACTAGGGTTGCTAAATTCAATTTAATTTCTGGCTTTTTATTTTTAAGTTTTTTAAGACTGTTTTGGAATAATTTATAGAAAAGTTGCAAAAGTAATACTCCGCACTCAGATTCCCAAATGTGAACATTTTTCTCCGTTACTCTTCTCTCTCTCTCTCCATCCATCCCTCTAGCTCTGCTGAGATCTTAGGGGTCCCACATGTCCCTGTGGTCTCCTCTGACCTGGATCGGTCCCTCACTTTCCGTTTTTCATGACTTTGGTGATTGTGACATCGCAGGCCAGTTATTTTGCAGGATGTCCCTCGGTTTGGCTTTCAGATGACCTCGTGACCAGATTCACGGCATGCAGCCTTGGCAGGAAGCCCCTGGGTGTGATTCTCGGAGTCTCTCAAATCCTTACTGTGTGCAAGACGGGTGTTGGGGAGGGGCACACAAGTGTAGGACAGACCCCTTTTCTCAAGTTCCCATTCATCACAAGGGTGGGAGGACGGCGTGTCCATTGCTCACCTGTCAGTGCTCGAGGAGGTACCTTTGACAGACACAACCCAAAACCGGGAGTGCTGTCAGCAGCCCGAGACAAGGTGATTTTCCAGATGTTTATTTCCTTTGCTCTGTTAAAAGTCAGGGCCCTGGGGCCGAGTGGTTAAGCTCGCGTGCTCCGTTCTGTGAGCCCAGAGTCTCCCTGGTTCGGGCCCTGGGTGTGGACCTCGCATCCATCATCAAGCCGTGCTGAGGTGGCGTCCCGCATAGGAGAA